CCTCATTTTTGCTGAGGCTGGCTTTGAACTCTTGATCCTCTTGCCTCAGCCTCCTGAGGCACTGGGATTACAGGCATGTTCCACCACGCCTGGCCCCAGCCCCCTTTTTAAAATATTTTATTTATAGACAGGGTCTCACTGAGTTGCTTAGGGCTTTGCTAAATTGCTGAGGCTGGCTTTGAACTTGTGATCCTCTGGCCTCAGCCTCTTGAGCCACTGAGAGTACAGTTGTGTGTCACCATACCCGGATTCCCCACACCATTTAATTTTTTAAAATTTTGATAGGGTCTTGCTAAATTGCCTAGGCTGGCCTTGAACTTGGGATCTCCTGCCTCAGTTTCCAGAGTTGCTGGGATTACAAGTATGCACTACTGTGCCTGGCTCATCAGACGTTCTAAGAAATAAGGAATAAAACAGTCTCTTATTGATAAGGCTGTTGTAAGGATTAAATAAGAAAACCTTGTAGAGCTGGATATGTTGAGGCATGTCTGTAAATCCAGGCAGGATCAGCCTTAGCAACTTAGCAAGGACCTAAGCAACTTAGTCAAACTCTGTCTCAAAATAAAAAATAAAATGGGCTGGGGATGTGGCTCAGTGGTTAAGCATCCTGGGTTTAATCCCAAGTACCAGGTAAAAGAAAACCCTGTAGAGATGGCATAATCCCTCTACACAAAACACCAAATACTAACTAAAGCCACATTTTTCCTTGCCCCCTTACTTCTATGGTGCTGGAGAATAAACCAGGGCTTTATGCATGGTAGGCAAGTGCTCTATCACTGAACTATACTCTTAGTGCAAAAACCACATTCTTTTAATGGAGAAAAAAGAAATGTATCCCCATTTTATAAACAGGAAATTAGATATACCTACAGGGCCAATATTTATTTAACTGCAAACAATAAAGGTCAGACTAATATACATTTAATTTACTTTCAGATCCTTATCTTACTTGATATGTTAATACAGAATTAAAAAGAAATATTTATATGTACCTACCTCAATTCCAAAGTACTGATGTCCTTTTCCCARTACAGCATCCACATACTCAGAGACCAAATCCACAGCTTCTTCCAAAAGGTCATAGTTCAAGTATAGACGAAGCAACTCAGCAGCATCAACTTTCTGTAAAAAGCCAGTGATATTTCCCTGCTGGCT